GCCCCCAGGACCGCCCCGCCATCCTGGCCGTGGGCTTCCGGGATGCGCGGCGGCAGGACAGCCCCGGGCGGGTGGCGGTGTACTGCCTGTCCCGCCCGGGGCGTGCGCTGTGGCAGGCGGGGGTGCCGCACGGGCCCTCAGCCGCCGCCTGGCTTCCGGGCCGCGGCGCGCTGGCGGTGGGGTGTGCCATGGGCACCATAACCCTCTTCCGACCCCGCCAGGGCGGGCGAGACGCGGGCAGCCCCATCTGCACCGTGCCGTGAGTTTTCTTGTTTCTGTTGCAGGGGGGGGGGAGAAAGGGGGACCCAGTGTCCACTGGTACGCATGTGCCCGACCCCCACATGCGATCTCTGGCGGGCGCTGGTGGGTGGAAGAGCGCGCCAGGCATGCCGGGAGGGGATGCTCACCCCAGCGTCCCATCATCAGAGCGACCGTGCCCCGCCCTTCCCGATCCACCACAGCTACGGCGGCGGCCACGGCGCCCCAGTCTGCGCTCTGGTTCCCGCCGCAGAGGCCGGCACTTGCCTGTCCTCGTGCGGAAAGGAGGGCACGGTGCTGCACTGGAAAGGCGGCCCAGAGGACGGCCTGGAGGTCGGCGCGCGGCAGGAGCTCATGGCGCCGTGGGCCGCCTGGGTCACGTGCGCCGCCGCCCGCTCCCCCGACCGCGCCTGGGCCCTGGGGAGCATGGAGGGCCGGCTGCTCGTCGCCGCGACGGACCAGTCTGCACCGAGCTGCTCCGCCGCTGGTCCCCACCCGGCCCCGCTCCTGCAGGTGCGGCAGGGCTGGCTCGGGGCGTGTCCGGTCCACAGACCCTGCCTCCCTCATGCAGGCAGGAAGCATGCCTGGGCTGTTGCGCAGTGGAATGGGAGCCTGTGCTTTGCCAAGGGAAGGGGCCAGGGGCGGTGCCGCCCAAGGGCACAGACCTCGAAACCCCAGCATCTGCACCAATTTTGCTGTGCAGTTGGCCTGGCACCCGCGCCGGCAGCACGTGCTGCTGAGCGCCGATGCGAGGGGCACGCTCGCGATCTGGAGCGTCGAGTCCGCCGAGGTGTGCCTGGTATGGTCCCACTCTGGGCCGGTTGAGGCAGCCGCCTGCGTCGCCTGGCACCCACTCCAAGGCACCTGCTTTGCTGCGGGCGGCGCGGACGGCAAGGCTTCGGTGTGGGACCTGGCGAGGTCCACCCGCTTCCCCCTGTCGACCTCGACCCTGGGCTGCCCCGTCACGACCCTGGCGTGGTCTCCAGACGGGCGGGCGCTCGTGTGCGGGGGCGAGGCTGGCGCAATCACGGCGCTTGCCTGGTCTGCCCCTGATCTGACAGAGGGCGGCAGCCAGGACGGTGCAGAGGGGAACGATGCGGTGCTGAGGGTGCTCACTGAGTCACGACACGAGTCATCAAGGATGTGAGGCCTCAAGTCTGCGTGAAAGTATCTTGAAAAGGACAATGCCGCTCCTCAAAATCTTCCCTCATGCTTCCCCTTCGCCTGAATTCCAGAGTCCACGCCAGCCCACCATCTCCAAAGACCACACCCCGTGGCAGAACCCACTTGCATGGCTCCTGCTCAAAGTGCGTGTTCACAGCGAGTATCCACGACTGCGTGACAGTCCTTTGGCACCCCTCCAGACACTCATGGGGCCTCAGGCCCCCACAAAGTTGGCATTCCCTGCCATGATGATGCCGATGATGACCCCAAAGAGGCCCAGCGCCGATGCAAAGATCTCCACCACCAGGATCTTGACAAAGAGGGTGGCATTGGCCGCGTCGGACAGGGCAGCGCTGCTGCCCACGATGCCCACGCTCAGCCTGGATGGGGCAGGGGAACAGGTGGCAAGGTGGGTGCGGGGCTTGGGGAGGGCACGCCCTGCCTCTGGCCATGTCAGTGGGTCCGCACGGGTGCTCCGCTGACGTCTCAGTCAGTCGATCTGTTTCCTGCTCGCCCTGCTTGGGTACAGGTGGACGGTGATGCGAGCAGCACCCCGCCCTGCAACCCCCAGGGATCCTCAAGCCCTCACCCGCACGCCAGGTTGGCCCATCCCGTGACGGAGCCCGCCCCCAGGATGGCGTAGCCCGCGTTTGCTGCCGCCAGGGAGTACGACCCATCATCACGCGGCTTCACCGCCTCGACCTTGGTCTGCAGGATGATGGCCACGATGACCCCATAGATGGCCACGGCCTCACAGAAAATGATGCTGCATGGGGGTAGAGGGGAGGGGTGCAAGGGTTGGGGCTGCTATGACACGGACGATGGGGCCCCCTCCCATGGCTCTCCCCACACTTGCCTGATCAAATTCTTGGAGGTGATGCGGGGCACCCTTTGTGCCGCTCCCATGAGACTACTGCCAGTTATGAAGATCCCCCTGCGACGCGCGTAGGGAAGATGCTCCATCGAGACCTTGAATTGCGGCATGCACCCCCTTCCCGTGCGCTCCCGCGATCCTACCCGCGATCCCGGCCCCAGACTCACCATGCCGCTCCCACGACCGACAGACCCACACACAGGGCGATCCCCAGGCTCGACCAGAAGTAGGGCGAGATGTTCTGGAAGAGGAAAAACAGGTATGTGACGTCCACGAACCAGATGAATACCATGGGAGGGCCGTGTCAGGAGTGCTACGCGCCCCTGAAGAACCCCGATATGTGGGGCCTCTACACCGATACGTCGCAAGGGTTCTGGGGTGACCGTTGCAAGGTGAGAGTGTCAAAGCTGGAATCTCGCAGCCCCTTGCCAACCGAGTAGAGTCTTGAAGCGCAGAGTGAGGTGCAGGGTTGAAGGGTTGGCAGCGGAGCGCAGCAGTGCGAGCATCCCCAATTCCCCAGAATCCCAGATCGTGACTCGCCTGCGATGCAGTCCGCTGCGAGGCCCAAACCGTGCTGATTGCGTCGCCACAAACGATATTCCATGTGTGCTGTCGCGATGGTCTTGTGATCATGGCCCCTGCTGCGTAGATCAGAAGGGACTTTGGGGCACTGGCCTCCACGGCCCCATGTACTTCCCCTATGGGTTCCCCCAATGCCTGGATGCGGGGGAGGTGCCGCCTTCTGAAGGACTTGTCGACACTACATTCACCGACCAGCATCTGTTGCTGACCTACAGCTCCCGGATCCAGGCCTGGTCAGCGGGCCGACACAGGATCAGGGTCGGCGAGGTGGTGGTCAGCCCCACCGACCTCGAGGACGAGGGGGAGCATGTTGCAGCAGCATGGTGCCAGAGAAGGCGTCGTCTGGCTCTGGTGGTGAGCTGGGGATGGGGCTCGGTAGACGAGGGACTGCCAGATTCGGGGGTGGGTGGGATTGGGGGGGGCCTGACCAGCACAGCGTCTTGCATGATCAGGGCAACAGGGCAAGGATAGCGATCCCTACGCCCACCCTCGCGATAAATTATACCTCTTTATTCGCTACTCCCAACCCATAACCCACCAGACGAGCCGGGGGTACCTGCACATCTATGCCGTCAGCAGCTCCAAGGAGGTTCTTTGGCAGACATCCGGCGAACCCCCGGCCAAGCTGACCAACATCTACATCCAGAATTCGGTCTTCCTCAGCAGCGACGAAGACCCGCCCGTTGGAGTGGTGGTGGATGTCAAGTCCATCCTGGTGGTTCTCGCCTCTGGCAAACTCCATAACACCGACTGGAATGGGCGGGTGAGGCGCAGGGGTGGAGGGTGGGGCGGCATTTGTATGCTTGTAGGAATGGAGATGGACAGTGTGAGTACTGAGAGAATGGTTTAGCGTCAAAATTTGATGCTCGAGCAAGAGATCACAGCCCAGAACGAGCATCTCCAGCCCAAAGCCTCAACCGCTTCCCGCCCTTCCTACTCCCCACCAGGCTCGCGGCAGCGTGGATCTCTTTGACCCCAGCAGGGGCATGTCTGCCAGGAGGAGTGACTCCCTCCGGGCGCCGCCGTCCCGGGCCAGCAGCAGCTGCCAGTCCGTGGCTGCGTTGCTGGAGTCGACGCCGCCGCGTGCCTCAGACGGCCATGCCGAGCTCGTGGCTGGAGCGGCCCAGCCCCTGGAGTCCGGCAGCGTGCACAGCGTCGCCCACTCCCCAACCTCCGGCCTGCTGGCGCTCGTTCTTCGGGACGGGCGGGTGGTGCTGGCGCGCAGCGCCGAGTCCACCCTCCACCCGGTGGAAAAGGTGAGTGATGGGGTGTGGCAGTGGAGGGGGGCCGGCGGTGGAGGGCAGGGCGGATCCGTAGTCTGTCGGTGCATCAAGCTCTCCCAGCATCCCTACACCAGTCTCTGCCCGCACGCTGAGCGCCAGCCTGTGCTGACTTTGCGTCAACCTGGCTGCCCAAGCGCCATCCACCAGTCTGCATTGCCTCCCCCGGCCCATCCCTTGCCCCAAACACCCCACAGATCTACATGCTGGGCCCGGGCCACGTGCCCGGCAACTCTGGCCAGGCCGCCACCTGCGCCGCCTTCGACCCCGTGAACGCCACCCTGGCGGTGGGCTGCGCCGGCGGCCAGGTGGCGCTGTACGCGCTGGCCGAGCTGCTCGACCCCGGCGTGGGGGTCCCCGCCCCGGTGCGCACACTGTCCCAGGACGAGTGGGGCCTGGATCCCAGTGCGCTGGGCGCCACGGCCTGCCTGCGCTGGTCGCCCGACGGCCGGGCGCTGGCAGTGGGACAGGCCCGGGCCGGGCTGTCCGTGTGGACGGCCTCGGGCTGTCGCGTGCTGTGCACGCTGCGCCAGCACGCAGGCGTCGAGCCGGGCATCCTGGAGGTGGGTTTGGTGTCTGGGGGGTGGGGGTTTGGGGATCTACGGAGGGATCGCCGGAGGCGAGGGGGCCTTCGGGCTGTAGATCCTCGGAGGTGTCGCACCGTCGGGCAAGAGGGTGGGCCAGGCCATACTCAGTGCAGCACGATCACCTCCCTCTCCCTTGCTCCCCACCAGGGTCCCGTGACAGCCTTGGCCTGGGCGCGGCACGGCGCCCGGCTGCTGGCGGCGGAGGGCGGGTCCCCGCAGCTGCTGCAGGAGCTGCGCTTTGCGCGCACCCTGGCGGGCGACCACCGCGCGATCCTCCGCCGGCGCTGGACGGGGGCGCAGGCCTCGGGGTCGGAGCTCCCGCCCTGGCTGGACCCGGGCGAGGAAGGGGCCGGGCATGCTCTGCTGGTGGGTGGGGTAGGGGGGGATGATGGGCCTGAAGCTGTTACTGGGCGTGTGTATGGTGCACACAGAGTCTTTTGTCGAGGGCGTGGGCCCTCGGGCAGCACAGTCTCAATGCCCTCGGCCTCTGGCCTTCCGGCTCTCAAGCTTGCTATGCCACCCAGCTCCCGTGCGTACCCCGCCAGGCCGAGGATCGGGTCCTGCTGGTGGGGCCTTGCGCGGCCGTCGGGCGCGGGGCACGGGGCTTGGGGCTACGCCCCGAGCTTGCTCTGGAGCACCTGCAGGTGCCGGAGGCCTACCTGGAGGCCGCCTACCCTCTGGTGTGTGAAGGTCCTCCTGTGTGGGGGGGGTGCATTGGCGTAGGTACCACCGCCCTGCAGGCGCCATGGGGCCCCGGGTGCGTGCGTGTGCAGACCTCCGCTCCCGGCCACACGTCCGCCGAGCAGGCCCGGACCCCGCCGTTCACTCCACGCAGGTCCGTGCGGCCGTGGACCCGTCGTCGGGCGACGTCGCCGTGGCGGGCGGCGTGGGATTCGCGCTGCACTCCCGGTCGCAGGCGCGCTGGCGCCTGTTTGGCGACGCCGCCCAGGAGCGCAGCTTCCAGGTGGGCGGTCGATGGGCGTGGATGCTCGGTGCACGGCGAACCCTCGGGAGGGGCTTGGGATGAGGAATCGTGCGTGTGGTGTGAGCGCTGTACACCAGCTCGATGTGCACACCCGGGGTCCTTGTTCCCTTGTGTGAGCCGATCGCGGGTCGGGTTCAGGGCAGGTGTTCGCTCTGGGCCCCCCCCCCGGAGGTCCCACCCCCTGCTGCGCCACCAGGCCTGGCTGTTTCGGTGGTCGCAGTGTCCCATGTCACCCCCCTCACAAACCCGTGAACCCACCCACGGCCCCGCCAGGCGCTGGCGCTGGTGTGGCTGGGGGACGGCGTGGTGGGCGTGGTGGCGGGGCCCCCGCCGGGCAGCCCCGATTCACCCCCCCGCCTGGAGCTGCATGCCAAGGCGCGGCTGGATCGCGGCGCCCTGCTGGCCACCCTGGACCTGGAGGAGGCGCCGCTGGCCGCCGACGCGCTGGGGCGCTACGTGCTGCTGGGGTCGGGGGCGCTGGACGTGCGCCTGGTGCGCTACACGCCGGCGGAGCGCGGCGGCGGGGCGGGGCGGCTGGAGGTCGTGCGGCACCTGTCCCTGATGAGTGGCGGGCGCCCGCTGCGGGTGCGAAAGGGCCTGGGGGTGCGGGGTTTTTGCTTTTGGGAGGGCATGCTGACTGAAGGGTGCGTGGCGTGGGTCGGAGGGAGGTGGGATGACGGGTGAGAGGATGGCTGTGGCAGGAGTGAGGCTAGTGGGGGTCAACAAGCCTGTGAAAGCGGGATCCCTCCTGAGGGGAGCCAGTGACCCATGCCCCCCCCCGCATAAACCCTCCGTCCTCTGCTCGCGTGCCCGACCCTGGCCGCTCTATTCTTCCTTCCCTAATCCTTCCAGGAGCTGGCCCTGGTGGAGCCGGGGGAGTCGGCGACGACGTCAGATGACGACGATAACGATGATGATTTCGTCGCCGGACAACCCTCACCGGACGCCGTCGCCCCGGACGCAGCCGGGGACAAGCCCGCCGCCGCCGGCTTGGGCGCCACGCCGTCGTCCTCCCGCGGCGAGGACGGGCTGCCGCTGCTATCGGTGCGCGTCCGGCGCCCCGCCTCCCGCCGCCGGCGGCCGCGCCCGGGGCAGGCGGACGCGCACCCCGGCGAGGCCCTGCTCCTGCGCGTGGACGGCGCCCTCTCGCGCCTCGACCTCGACGCTGGCGCGGAGCGCGCTCTGGCCTCCGAGGTGGACCGCTTCTGGCTGCCCCTGGCCGTGGACACGGCGGCGAGCGGGCTGACCGCGGGCGGGGCGCGCGCCGTGGGCGCGGGGCCGGGCGGGGCACGCACGGCGCGTGGAGGTGCGAGCGCCGCGCCTGGCGCGACGACGGCCTCCGAGGTGGACCTGCTGCACCTGGACGACCCCTCGTCCTCGGAGGGTGCGCCGCCGCCCGGCCCGCACCCGCCGCCGCGCGTGCGCCGCGCGGGCACCACGCCCGGCGCGGTCCCCGCCACAGAGCTGCCCTGGTGGCTGTACGGGCCGGGCGGCATGCGCCTGGCCTTCCCCTCCGCCCTGGACGGGGCGGCCGCCACGCCGGGCCCCGGCTGGATGGCCTCGCCCGGGTCGGGGCCGGCCCGGGACGCTGGAGTCCACGTGCCGCGTGACCCCGGGGAGGCCGAGCTGGCCTTCGACGCCGGGACCTACCCGCTGGGCATCTGCCTGGCGGACGTGTCGGTGGTGGGCGTGGCGCAGCACAGCGCCTTCCCCACGGCGACCGTGCGGGTCGGCGCTGGCGGGGCAACGGAGGACGGCGGCGCGGAGGGTGGCGGCGCGGCCGCCACGACCCCGGCCCCGTCTGCCCCGCCGCCCTGCTTCCAGCCCCTGCCAGGGAGCCAGCCGGCGCTGCACTGCCTGCTACACCGCCAGCTGGCAGGCGGCCGCGGCGAGCGCGCGCTGGCGCTGGCGCGCTGGTACGCCGCCGCGCCGCACTTCCCCCGGTCCGCCGAGTGGCTGCTGTTCACCGCGCTGGAGGGTGACGAGCGCGAGCGCGCCGGCGCGGCCGCCGCCTCGCCGCTCGCCAGCGCCAGGTGGCCCGGGTCGGCGCGCGGCGCGCGGCGCGCGGGGCCCACCCTGCGCGCCGCGGTGGACATGCTGGCCGCCTTCCCCGCCCTCTACGCGGGCACCGTGGTGGCGGTGGCCCGCAAGACGGACGCCGCGCTGTGGCCCGCACTCTTTGCGGCTGTGGGCTCGCCCTTCCGCCTCGCCCAGAGCCTGCTGGACCAGGGCGCGCCGGAGGTGGGTGGGCGGGTGGTGGGTGGGTAAGGGTTGTTGTGGAGGCTGGGGTGATTGTGGGTGCATGGGTGTATATGTGTGGGGGGAAGGGGGTGAAACATGGTGCTCTGGAGGTGTTCAGGTGGGAGCAAGAGGGCAAGGCAGGGCGTCGACCGCTCCGCTGTGTCAGTGCAGTGCCGCGTCGGCAAAAGGACGATGCGACCTTGTCGGGCATACGAAGAGCTTTGACAGACCATTCCCCCGATGGCCTACCCCCCCCCCAACCCCATACCCCCCCAAACCCTTTACCCCCCCGTCCCTTTCCAGAAAGCGGCGGCGTGCCTGCTGGTGATCAACCACCTGGAGGGCCCCGGCACCGCCCAGAACCTGGCGGTGCAGGTTGTGCGCGAGGCGGTACGCTCGCAGCGGTACGCGCTGGCCGCAGAGGCCATCCGCTTCCTCACGCCGCCGGGGGAGGAGGGCCTGCTGCAGGCCGTGGGCCTCGTGGGGCGGCAGGGCGCCGCGGGCGTGGCCGCCGCGCGCCGCGCCTCGCTGGCGGGCGCGGGCGGCAGAGGACCTGACGGCACGGGGACGCCGGGCGCGGGCCTGGCCGGCTGGCTGTGGTCGTGGTGGGGCGGCGCGGGCGAGGCTGGCGGGGCCGGGACGGCGCGCGTCGGCGAGCCGTCCGACGCCGCGCCCCCGACCCTAGAGCGGTCGAGCGGGGCGGCCCCGGCGCCGCTGCGCCGGCACAGCTCGTCGCGCCAGGTCAGCGCCTCGCTGGAGACGCTGGACTCGCTGACGCCGCTGGTGGACGTCTGGGACCTGCTGGCCGGCCACGCGCGGGCGCTGGTGGAGGACGCCGCGTACGCGCGCCTGGCGGGCTTCAGCGCCGCGCTGCGTGCGCTGCCGGGCACCTCGCTGGCGACGCTGCTGGGCGGCACGGGCGGGACGGTCGATTCAGGCGCCGGGCTGGATGCGGAGCGCACCCTGCGCGCGCTGCGCTGCGCGCGCCGGGACCGCGCCGCGCTGGGCGACGCCGCGGCGGCCGAGCTGGCGCGGACGCTGTGGGGCCTGGGCGCCGCGGACGCGGCCGGGGGGCTGGCCCTCGCGACCCCGGTGCCCGATGTGGCGCGCGCGCTGGCGGCTGCGCACCCCGCGCAGTGGGCGGCGCTGCTGCAGGTCGCGCCGGTCCTGCGCGCAGCGCTGGGGGCGCCGGGCGAGGGCGAGGGCGGTGGATCGGAGGTGGGCGGGGCGGTGACAGCCGACGGCGACGGTGCCCCGGGAGCGCCGGGGAGTCGATGACCCCGGCCCCTTCCCTGGCGCCTGGCGGGTTCTCTATGTGCTGCGCTGAACCCATGTCCTGGCCCCGCGGCTCCTCTGCCCCGCGCGCACCTCCCTCCCTCCCTGCGACGGCACCGGCCTCCCTCCCTGCGACGGCACCGTCCCTTCCCCGCGCACGCTTACAAGCTGACAAAGGGTGTAACAAGCAGGGGCACAAGGAGTGGGGTGCTGCAGCAGTGTCCTCCCCCAAGCTCATGCAGAGAAGGGCGTCGTTTGCAAAAATGTTGAGGGGTGGGGTCGGTCAGCAGCTGCACGAGGTCCCCGAGGTGCTGTGGGAGGCCAGGTCCCAGGCTTCTGGGCGCCGAGATCTTCCGGTCGACGCCTGGAAAGCTGCCCACATTGCGGCAGTAGGGGCGCACATCAGCCTGAGCCACAGCGCTGCTACTCCCTCCTGGGTCTTCGCTGCACAAACCATGACCCTCGCCGCGCCCTCAGATGACGGTGTTGTCTGGAATGGAGGCGTTGCGCATGACAACAACAATGCCGTCCTGGATCATGTACCCGTCTGCGATGCACAATGGAAGGATGGGTTGAGGAAGAGTGGGGTTGGGATGCGGGACGATGGGCCACAGAGGAGAGTGGTAGGGAACTCACATGGCTCTGCCTCATCAAAACTATTCTCAGAATAGAACCCGGATGCTCCCCAAGCCCAGCCCCCTTCGACATGGCCACCTAGCTTTGCTGTCCCACAAATCCCGTCTCGCACACCAAGCAGGAAGCCTCAGCCAAAATCCTTCACCGTGGGCCCCCACGCCAGTGCAACCCCTCCTCCTCCCCCCCCAAAAAGAAAAAAAACCTCCGCACCCGAATCGGCACGGTCGCACTCCTGGACGTTGTCCTTGTTCAGGATCTTCACGTTGTTGCCGATGGTGGTGTTCTCGTCCACCACCACCTTGCGCAGGTGGCAGTTCTCGCCCACGCCGTAAACGCGCTCGCCGCGGCGCTGCGCCTCGCCGCGCAGCTTGTCGCTGGCCCAGTAGGAGTTGCGCAGGAGGAGCGAGTCCTCCACCACGGACCCGCGCCCGATGTACACAGACTCGCCCACCACGCTGTTGCTCACCGTGCAGCCCTTTGAGATGGCCGGGGAGGAGGGGAGCTCAAGGCGGGGAAGGTGGACTGCCAAGGGTTCAAGGGCCTGAGCACGACGCAAGTAGCGGGCGGACCCGTGTGCTGAATCTCCTCGCTCACCTTTTCCCCTGAAGTACTACCCCCTCAACCCCTCTTCCTGCTCCCATCAAACCCAGCGCCATGCCTCCCATCCCCTCACCACCAGGACGGCGCCGTCGCCGACGATTGTGCGTGTGATGTCGGCGTCGTGCAGCTGGGCGGGGGGCAGCATGGACCCCCGCGCCGCCACCGACATGTCGGACTTGATGGGCGAGTCCTCGTCAGACAGGTCCAGGTTGGTCTCGTAAAAGTCTTTCAGGCTGCTCACGTCGTGCCAGTAGCCTGCGGTGTGGAGATGTGGAGAGGGTCGGACATGCGCAAGGGGGCGGATTCGGGCGGTAGCCTAACAAACAAAAGTGAATCGCATAGTAGTGGAGAGCCAGATATGCCACTCCCCCGGCCTCAGCACTATCCTGTGCATTCGTGCATGAGCACCCGTATTTCCCCTGGCTCCCAGGACACACGCTACCTGCCTGGCCAGTAGCTTGAGCTTGCCAACAACACAGCACCCGCCTGTCAAACTCCCCACCATACTCGATGACATCTTTGACTCCTTCCTCCCGCTCCTCCTCCCTCCCACCAGCCCCTCAACCACCCACCCACCGTCGTGGAGGTAGGCGTACACCTTCATCTCCTGGGCCAGGGCATTCGGGACCACATGGTGCCCGATGTGCGTGATGGCCTGCTTCTTGGCGGGGCTGAGCAGGCGGAACAGGGCCTCCCGCCGGAAGACGTAGACGCCCATGTTGGCGAGGTAGCGCGAGTCGTCGTCGACGCCCTCGCGCCGCATGCCCTCCAGCGACGCCTTGCTCGGCTTCTCCTCGAACTTGAGCACGCGGTCTGGCGGTGATGGGATGGTGGGTGGGTGGGAGGGGTGGAGGGCAATCCTTTTCTTGCAAGCCAGTTGAGGGTTCGGTACACGCCCGTGAATCTCACAGGCCAACCATGCACAGCACCAGCAGAAGGAACCCCCACACCGCCGCGGGTGGCACCCATCTGCGCAGCCCCGCACTCCCGACCCCAAACCTTTCGCATGATCAATTACCCAACCCTCTCCTCCTCAATAGTCTCACTGGAGCTGTTGTGGACCTTGGCGACGCCCTTTCCAGATGCGTCGGCCTCCGACACGGGGTGCATGGCGATGGTGATGTCGGCGCCCTTGGCCCGGTGCTCCGCCACCAGCTGCGCTACGTCCATGGTGTACACCGCCGCGCCGGAGAGGATGACGTACTCGGTGGCGGGGGTGACGCCCCGCGCCTCGTCCATCAGCTCATTGATGTTGCGCCGCACGGCGTCTGCAGAGCCCTGGTACCTGCGGCAGTGGGCGTGGGGCGGGTGGGTGGGTGAAAGGGACCAGGCACACGCGGGGAGGCACCAGGGCCGGGCGGTGCGCCCTGCTTGAGGACGCGATTCCAGAGGGCTGGGGCAAGCAGATCTCAGATGTCACCCCTCCAAACAACAACCCCACAAACCCCTTGGATCCATCGCACCAGTCCTTTTCGGTGACAGTTTGCTGGGCCGCCAGGACGTCCACCCATGCCTGGTGGTCGGGGCCACCAAAGCGGACGGGGGGGTAGGCGGAGGTCAGATGGCTGTTCAGGGTGTGGCTCTGGAACTGGGTCAGCACATAGCTGCAGGGAGGGGTGGGAGGAGGGGGTTGAGGGGCTTGGCTGGCAGTGCTGCGCAAGGCAGCAGCAAGCCGCTGGGGGAGCAGCATTGGGGGGGACAGAGAGGGCAATGCAAAAAGCTGCAGCATCTGCGCCTTGTGCCCCCTCATGATGGTCTACAGAATCACCACTGTGATGCCAGCTTCACTGTCCACAATGAGGCACCTCCTTTCCCCATGCATCATGCGCAACATGTGCGAGCCCACAGCCCCTCCCACCCCATCGCCAAGTCCTACTTCAGCCCACATTTTATTGATGCCCGCACTCATGCAGTTGCTGATGGGCACGTCGATCATCATCAAGCTGCTGCCCAACGGCACAGCGGGCATAGCGCGGGAGCGGGTCAGCGGGTTCTTCGCCTCACCGCCGGCGAGGATGACGGCGCGCACAGTCCTCGACAGCTCCTCCCGGTCGATCGAGGGGTTGATGGGTCTGCAGGGGGGAAAGGGCACGGTTGGGATGGGCTTGGGAGTCAGGTCCTGGTTTGAGGCTTGTCTGCCACAGAACCCAGCTTTCAAGAGTGAAGCCTCTCTCTGACGACCAACCCTGCACCATGACCGCCACAATGAAGATTACCATACCTTCCAAAACTGGGGTCGTCGATGCTGGCCATCAGCGGTTCCGCAGGCTGCGAGCGGGAAGAGGTGCAAGGAGAGCACTCGGGTCCTGCTCTCGAGAGATGCCGGCAAACCCGATTGCCAGGCCTCCCTCCCATGGTTCACCTGAAGTACCCGGCGGCCCTGTGGCAGCTGATCCGTTTCCCATGGCTTGGGATCCGCCCCGCCACGGTTCTTCTGGGCAGGTGTGGCCCGGCTCACTGGAGTGGTTCGGGGGCGGGAGGCCCCCGTGCCCTCCGCTCCAGAGCAGATGGGTGTACCACCCCTTACCCCATGCTTTGGTCGTGTGCATTGGAAGGAGACTGGCATGCGCCCTGTGACACCCGCCTGCAGGCTCTGCATGGTGCTGGCTCGCGACCCGGTGCAACAAGCGCTTGCTAATGTTGCGATGCCCCTGGTAATCCTTGAAGTTAAATTCTGTTTCACACAGGGGCAGGATGTCAGCGCTGCTGTTATGCAGGGCTGAGGCACGAGCACCCATTCCCGCCCGCTTGCGCTGACGACGAGCCTGATTTCGGGTTGCGGTGTCGGTACAGCTGGAGCTCATCAGCAGGGTCCTCCACGTTATTTGATCCCACGATTTGCTCTGTGTACCCTGTTCTGACACCACTTGAATGATAGTGCGTGAGCAGAAGAGTGTTACAAGGCCAGAGCCATCGCGTCAAGTCTATGCACTTGGCACCTCGAGCTCGCCATCGTCGATCTGAGAAGGGAGTAACGGGAATACTTGCCGGTAAGAAGGGCTGTAGTAATATGTTGCGGCTCAGAAACGGCAATCCTCAATCTGGTGTGGCACAGAGAACCTCTGCGCTCAACTCGCAGCACCTCTGCTCCCCAGCAGGCGCCCTCCCCCCCCCCCCCCCTCCCCACACAATCATGCCACCCTGCTCCACCGCCGCTACCGCACCTTTTGCTGGATGTCGCGGGGGTCCTCGTTGTCCACCTGGCAGCCAACCGACACGCACGTGCCCAGGATCTCCTTGACGGTCCCCGCGAAGCCGGCCGCGCAGGAGCGGTCGCGCATGATGCGGGCGATCTCGTACACATCCTCGAGCGCCAGGTTGCCGGAGTGCACGATGTTCTTCTCCTTCTTCCTGTCGCGCACGGGCTCCTTCAGGGCCTTGATGACCAGGGAGGCGGCGGACGGGATGACGGACACCTTAGCCTGCCGGTTCTGCACAGTCAGCTTGACGGTCACACGCAAGCCCTTCCATTCCTTGGCTGTCTCCTTGGCGATGTCCTCACCAATCTGGGGGCGGGAAAGCGGATGCTGGGTCGGCAACTATGCTTGAGGATCATGTGGATGGCTTGGCGCCACACCCTGTCGAACGCCCCCTCAGACCCCACCCACCCCCGCACCTTCTTGGGGGACAGGCCCAGGGGTCCAATCTTCGGGGCCAGGGACGAGGCCGCACCGACTTCGCCGCCGGTTGCCCGGACGTAGACCTGCACGGTGGGATGGACATACCTGATTATACTGGGCGCCACAAGGTTCACGACCGCCCCAGCCCCCTGCGAGCGCTCGGAGGATGGCCCCTCCGCCCCCTGGCATCCCCGCCCCGCCCCGCACCTCGATAATCGAGTTGGGGTCGAATTTCGGCGGCATGGTGCTCCCGTTTTGCTTCGAAAGAGGCAGGCTCTGAGGCCTCCGGGAATACTTGGCCGCCTACCTCGCATTCCGAGCTTTCCTTATGCCTACCTGGCATCTCGCATTTTTCGTATAGCAAGCTGAGGCATGAGCCCAGCAGCTGAGACTTTAAAGTCTTCCCGCCGGGTCAGAATAGCTTTTGCCTACCGATAGATCGCTTTGGGTCAGTGATAGCCCGGGGCTCGTGCCCAGTCGTGAAACACTGAAGGCGAAGGCCTCCCACCAGGGAGCGGTGCCTACCTGCCGTCCATCTCGCGGGTGCTGGACGTCCAATGAGAAGCCAAAAATGTTACTAAATATGTGAACGAAGAATACGAGATCCTAGACTCGAGCTGTGTCCCCCTCCTCTAGTGTCGTGAGGGAGGCTCCATGGCCCTCACCTCCGACCATGTCAATTTCCTGGTGTACCGCTACCTTTTGGAGGCTGGTGAGCGCGAGTTTAGGACGTGGTGGAATGTGTTTGTGCCGTCCCTGCACAGGCGCACATTGACATCGTCGCCATACTCTTGTGTGACTCCACAGGGCTGGGACTTTCAAAGCCACCTTCGTGCCTACCTCATCCCTCCCCATTGCAGGCTTCGCCCACACCGCCTTCACCTTTGGCGCGGAGAGCTCCATCCTGAACTCCGGCCTGCCCGGCGCCGACGTGCCCGTGGGCACGCTGGTCAGCATCCTGCAGAAGGGCTTCCAGTTTGCCGAGCTGGAGGCCAACCTGACGGAGGAGTCCACCGATGTCTTCGGCGAGTTCACGCCGCTGTCGGCGGAGGCCATCATGACCGGGGATGTGGAGGAGCTGCGCGCCACCGTTCGCGAGTGGCACGAGAAGCGTGACGCCGCCGCGCTGGACGTGCTGGCCTCGGGGCCGGAGGAGCTGGACCCTGGTGCCTGCCTGGGGCTGGGGGGCGCGGAGGGGCCCGTGTATGCCTGCCCCTGGGCCCCGGCCGGCCCCCCTCGCCTCGCGGCGGGGTCCGCGGACGGCAGCCTGCGCCTGTGGGACTTTCCCGAGGGCACTCGGGAGCCACCGCCCGCGCCCTGTGTCTGCGCCACGGGGGGTGAGATCACGGCGATAGAGTGGTCGCCGGGGTCGAGCCTGCTGGCCGTGGCACTCATGGACGGCAGCATCCAGATCTGGGAGGCCGACGGTGCGTTTGTACTGTTCAGTGTGGGGCTCCCACGGTTGCCAAGGTCGCAGGGCTGGTGGCTTGACCCGCTGGTCGTGCCATGTGTGGAGGGCACCAGGTAGGCACCCCGTGCCTTGTTGCCATCCGAGTGGCACCCCACATGCCCCATCGCCGGAATGCTCACGTCCCCGTGAGCGCCTCCCAGCTCGCAAGGTATTCCTGCCCATGCCATCCCCCCACTCCCCCGATCACACCAAAACAAAAGGCACGCGCAAGTTCACGCTGGAGGGCCACACGCGGTCCATCTTCGCACTGCGCTGGAACCGGCGCGGCGACCTCCTGCTCTCCTGCTCTGTGGACTGCGCCGCCATCGTCTGGGATGCGCGGACCGGCGCCCTGCGCAGTCGCTGCGTGCACCACGCCGCGCCGCTGCTGGACGGCGACTGGCGCACAAACGCCATCTACGCCACCGCCAGCGCCGACCGCACCATCGCCGTCTTCAGGGTAGGCGAGGACCGACCCCTCAAAGTCTGGAAGGTAGGCGCCGGGGCACCCTCATGGGTCTGGGGATGAAGGGGGGGTGGGAGGTAGAGAGTCCGAGCACCGCCCCGGCCCTGTACACCGCCTTGCGCAACCCTGGACATGGCTGTCCTTTGTTGTATCTCTGCGGCAGGGGCCCTGTGGGGCCAGGCTCCCGAGCAGACAGGCGATGGGCTGAGCTGGCGCAGGCAGCGCTTGCATCGCATCAGCAGGTCTCATGCAACCAGGGCTTTGCCCTTCAAGGGACCGAGTCAGAGGTCGCGCATCCCTCGCACATACCGCACCCCGCACTCCCCACAGGGGCACTCCGGGGACATCAACGGCGTGCGGTGGGATGGCAGCGGCAAGCTGCTGGCCTCGGCCTCGGACGACGGCACCGTCCGCATCTGGTCCCTCACCTCTGATGCGCCACTACACACTCTGACAGGTCGGGCATGGGGTCGGGGTTGTGTGGAGTGTGGCAGGATTTCAAAGGGTGTGGTGAGCAGTGCCCCCCCCCACCCTGCCTCCTCCTGGGTGTACGGCTGCTGCAATGAAGAGGAGTCTGTCCACCGCTTCCTGGAGCCTGCCTCCTGTGCGGCTCCAGTGACGAATCACACCCCCAAACCTTCCACCCCTGGTCACCTTCGCCTCGCAGGGCACAGCGCCGAGGTGAACAGCCTGCGGTGGGGCCCCTGGGACAGCCGCCACCTGCTGGCCAGCGCCGGCGCCGACGGCCTGGTCCAGATCTTCGACCCCGACACCGGCACGGTGGTGCACCGCCTGGACCGCCACGGCGCCAACGTGCCGCACCTGCGCTGGAGCCCCGCGGGCGAGTACCTGGCCACCGGGGATGAACTGGGCCAGGTCCTGGTCTGGTCCACCAAGTCGGGGGCTGTGGTGCGCAGCCTGCAGGTGGGCGGCGATGCGGGCTTGGGGGGGGTCTCATCTGGAGGTGGGACTTGGGAGGGATGCAACTGGCTGAGTGCTGAGGTTGGGGGAAGCAACGGAAGGGAGCCGCAGCGTCAATGGCGCGTCAGGGACTGTTGCAGACTGTTGACCTTGCTTGGTCGATCGCCATCCAGTCAAAGCCAGCCTCTCATTCGCTCACCCCGCCCCACCCCCTCCCTTGCATACCCCTCCCAGTGCCCCGCCCTCATTCACGACCTGTCCTGGGCGCCGGACGGCGAGACGCTGTCCATGTGCATGGCCGAGGGCGCACCCCAGGTGCTGGTGGTACCCCTGGGTCAGGTGCCGCCCCTCCCCCCGGCCGACCCGAAGCCCATGTCGCCATGAAGACTGCGAGGGGGGGGCGACCTGCCGCGAGCGCTGGAGGAGGCAAGGGCGCTCTGACTGTCTGGGGAGGACATGCCATCCCGGACTGCCAGCAGGATCCTGGGTGGCTCCAGGCCCTGCGTCTCTCAGGCACACACCCAGCCTCCGGTGCCCGGTTTCACCTTGACTGCGAGGGACTGCTCCCCGCGCATGCCTCCGAGTGGTTCCCAAGCTGACCCTCCAGATGTAAGTAGACGACACACAGGGGCATGCCCTTGGTATTGGTAACCCAGCGCCCTCCATGGACGCAGTCTGGCGCACCGTCGGCCGCTGCTACCCTGCCTTCTGCCCGCGACCAAGTCATTTGGTACAGAGTGCAGTGCGTGAGTGCTCAGGGGTAGATGGTGTCAGGCAAGGCCTCCACGTCAGGGGAAGAGTATTTGTCTGGGTGCGCATGGCATGCAGTCAGGGCCCCAAAGGTTGTGGCGACGAGCCGGGCGTCAAATGCGTGCGTCAGCGTTCGTGCCGCAGGCCCTCGTTGTCACACCATGCGCATGCCGGGGCATGTAACCCCGGCGATGGCCAGTGTGGCGGCGGGGGCCGCGCCAGGCGCCGACGTCTCCCCCTCCCCTGCCTCTAGCGCGGCGGCGCCGCCGGCGGTGGCCAGCACGTGCTCGACAAAGGCGGCGACGGCGGGGAAGCCGCGGGGAAGGTGTCCAATCCAGCGCAGCGCCTGCTCCACGCCCAGCACCATGAACACCTGGCTGCAGTAGGAGGAGACCAGGGAGTTCATGCCGGCCAGGTAGCGCTCCAGTGCCGCCGCGGTGGACAGCGCCTCCAGGTACCCGTCCATCATGCCCGCCAGCGAGGCAGCCGGCGCGGCGGCGGCGCCCGTGGCCACCGCCGCCGCCGCGCTGCGTCGCTGCGCCGCGCCGCTGCCGCCCAGCGCGCACAGCATGGCCACATGCTGGCGGTGCACGCGCCCCAGGCTGGCCACCTGCGCCGGGCTCAGGCGCAGCGCGCGCGCCAGCGCGGCAAACCCGGCGTCGGGCAGCGCGTCGCGCCGCACAGCCGCCTGTGCCTGCGCCATGGTGGCCATGACGAGGTCGGGGCGGCAGGCGGTGGCCACGCTGTGCATGCAGGCCATGCTCTGCCAGGCGCCCACCATCTGGAGCAGGCACAGGCGGGAGCCGGTGCCGTCCAGCTCCGCTATTACTTCCCTGGGAAAGTGTGGAGTTCAGGGCCGAGGGGTGGGGACGTAGTTGGCGGCACGACAGGGGTCCCAGCAGTGGCGACGGGTGCATGCCGGGGACGCATGCTGCAGGTCGTGGGAGGCACCCCTTGATCAGCCCGACACGCAGTCCAGCCAGCATGAAATTTTGGGTCCATATCAAGGCCTACTGGCTGATTCTGATATTCCGTCCCGGGAACAAGCCCAGGCAACCCACCGCGCAGCGTCTCTGAAGCTGTCCAGGGCCGCACAGAACTGGGTCTCGGTCATGCCCCTGACCTCTTCTCCATACTCCACGAGTTGATCTGTGGGGGGAAAGAGGCAGAGGGGCAAGCCAGCTGGACAAAACAACTGGGGTGGAAAAGGTGCTGTCCAGACAGCAGGTCCTGGCATTCCTCAACCATTTTGGTCATGCCAAGAGCTGCGACACCCCCCTCACGTCAGCTGGCTTGAAGGTCCCTGACCGTTCCACACCACAAGATTCCCCCGCCCCCTCACCCCACGTCAGATCCAAGCTCGTGACACACTGCCTGGAGCACCCCTCTGCCAGCGCCAGATCCATGAAGAGGCGCTCCACGTGTTCCAGGTACTGCTTCACCTCGGCATGCAGGCGGGGGGAGATGCCCTCGCCCGAACGAACGTTCAGGCCAGGGTTTGACGGACTGTCATTGAGGGCTTCTGGTCCCTGCAGCGGGCACGGAGCCGTGATGCGGAAGTCTGCCGGGCTGGATACAGAGGGTGGCGGGATGCAGTGCACTGCCTCGCTTTGACCATCTCAAGGGTACTTTTGTCTCCCGTCCTCTGCACTCGCCCAAGATGGGCTGTACCATGTGTCATCTTCCCATGCTCAGGCACGCCAGATCTTTCTATCCCCCCCCCCTTCCTCCACCCAAGGCTCCCTACCTCTTGGGGGCCTTCTAGCACCTTGATGGACATGTCCCGCACGCTGAGAATCCCTGTCAGGACCGCTGTGTCCAGCGTGAGACGGGCACTCTCACGCTGCTCCCTCTCCAGGGCCTCCTTGGTCGATTGATACACGCCCTCCAAGCCCATGCGTTTCGTCTGAGCGGTGGGCAGGCACAAGGTACGCCTTGGAACCTCCATGCAACGCACGCTCCCTTCATGGAGCATGGCAATGGTGCTGCTCGGAGTGAGTCCGGCCTTGATGGGTCGAGGTCCCATCCGAGAACCCCCACCACCTACCTTGCAGCGCGCCCGATACCGGGCCTGGTTCTCGGCGTTCCCTGAACGGGGCTTCCCCTTGTCACCTCGAGCGCCGCGCTTGGGAGCCGGCTCGGCCTCAGGAGCGCTGCTGCTCTCCCGGGTGGCATTGTCGGAGGACACGGGGATTGAACCTTCGGGGGAGTGGTCCTTACTGGAGGTGCACGGCTCCTGAGGCAATGGCCCAGACTGAAAGCCTGTGGCGAGCGGGTCCTCCAGATTCATGTTGGCACAAGTCTCGGAGTACATGGATAGGTATTCGGCAGGGCAGTCACGCCCTTTCTGTGGGCTCCGGCCAAAGCCTCTAGACAAAGCGGCGCAGTGGTGACCGACGGGATGGCCCACGGTTCCATGCACGGACTGTGACACGGTGTTGTGTTCATGGGCGCGCGAATTTGCTACATTATGCGACCTGGAGCTCATGCCAAGAGTACGTTGCTCTCATGTGTCATGAGGATCTCTCGCACGACCGTCACGTAAACCCTCATTGAGCGCTCCGCAGGATCTTGAGTTTGCCATGAGCTTCCCTGCTAACTATGTTGCTGCTGTTGCCACCATGTCAGACACATGCGAATCCCCTGAACAAATAGTCTGGCAGGCGCACCCCCGCCTGCATCATGGCGATCTGCTGCTGCTCCATCTCCCCCTGATCGACGGGGAAGAAAGGGATGGCCGCGGGCGGCTGAGGGGGCGCCGTGTCTGCATCCAGCGCATCTGTTCATGGTGAGGGAGTCCAGGGGTGATTGGGGAATCCAGGAACAAGCCATGCCCACCCTGTGCTCCCAGATCAAGGCGAGGAGGGACCCGGTCGCGAGATGAGTCAACCACGAACACCCCCTGGGCGGACCATGGTCCATGCGACCGCCAGCGCCCGCCCTTCCACCGATTGCACGTGCCTGGGAGGAGGGAGGGCGTCGACCCCCGCCGCGCGTGCAGCGCCGCCCCCGCCCCCGCCCTCCGCTCCGCGCTCTCCCGGCCGTACTGCAGGCGCAGCCTGCCCGCCGCGGCCGCGGCGGGCACGCGCCAGCGCGGCGCGGTGGCCTCCACCCCCGCCTCGCACTCTGTCAGATCCACCTCCGCGCCGCGCAGGCGGCGCAGGCGCGCCAGCGCCAGCGAGGCCGCGTGCTCGGCATGCGCCGTTCGGATCTCGGCGCTCAGCAGCGCCGGGGCCCGGCCCAGGGCCGCGGCGACGGGCGCCGGGATGGGGGGCATCTGCGCGAAGCGCCGGTCGGGCAGGGGCTGCACCGACTTCGGGCCGCCGGCCAGGGCCGGGGCCGGCTGTCTGGGCGCGTCGGCGGCGCCGGGGCCTCGTGATGCCTGCTCCGCCCCTGCATGGCCCCGCTCCTGCCTGTGGCGGCGGTCGTCCATGGATTGCAGGGTGCCGGAATGATACGCTGGTGCCACACTGCGGGATTGTGATCGTGATGGGGGGGGGGGGCGGGGACGCTGGGCAGAGGTGCCACCGAGGGCTCGGCGACGAACACCATTCTATGCCCACAACCACACCCAGGGGTGTGATGCACGCACGCTGGGCACCGGAGAAGTAAATGCGAGGCATGCCCCCGGAAACAGGGCCTGGGGCACTGGGGTGTCAAGACATTTCTCCCCGACAAGCCAGAGTCCCGGCCCACTCGCCTGGGAGCAGCGGCAGGCCGAGTGGCTGGCGCCGCTGCTGCTGCCGGGCCCGGCGAGGAGTGCCTCCTCGGCAACACCACCCCCCTGGGCTGGGGCACGGCGTGGCGCTTGGGCTGCGAGGAGGGCGCCGGCAGCGAGGCGGCACCGCGCTTGGCCGCGCCGGAGGCTGCATGCCGCGGCTCTGAGCGGGGGCGGCCGGGTCCGTGGGGCTCCGCCCGTCCCCGCGCCGCCGGCGGCGGGGACTCAGGCGCCTCGGACCCGGCCCCCGAACGGGGCAGGGGGCCCCCGCACGCCGCCTCCCCCTCCGCCGGCCACCAGGCGCGCTCCACCTCTCGCGCCGCGGCGGCGACGGCCGGGAGGCGCGAGGCGCGCAGCGCCTGCACGCGCCGGCGCAGCAGCTGCGCCTCGGCCCGCGCGCCGTGCCAGGGCGGTAGCAAGCGCAGCGCGCGCAGCGCGCACAGCATGACGGTGTGGTGCGCCGCCACCTCGCCCTCGCAGAGCCAGGTGACGGCGTGCGTGGTCAGCGCCTCCGCCCCGGCCCCCGTGAGCAGCGCCGCGGCCTCGCCCCGGGCCTCGCACGTCGCGCACAGCGCGCGCAGCACGGCGCAGCGCACGACGGGGGTGGTCGGGCCCCGGGCCAGCACCATGAAGGCGGGGCACCGGGCCACGCCGGCCACGGCGCCCGAGCCGTCCAGCAGCGCGTCGAGGCGGGCCAGGGTGGCCGCGCGCGCCGCCGAGCGCGCCTCCTGCGAGCCGAGGTGGGCGGGCGGCGGGGGGTGCACCGCCTGAGCCTTGAGCGCGAGGCGCACCTTGGTCTGCAGCCGCATGAGGTGGGCCCGCACCTCCGCCTCGCTGCAGCCGGCCTGGCGAGAGGGCATTCCGGGAGTGGGGGCTGGGTGAGGCTCTGTGAAGGGAGGGCATGTGAGACCAGCACGCCTGTGGGCCCTGGGAATTCAAGCAGGAGAGCCGCTACACCCAGCACCCAACAGGCAACCGCATGGGATGAGCACTCTGTGGAGCGAGCGCCCGCCGCCATGCTCACCTGGTGCGCGATGTGTTCGATCTCCTCGGCGGGGAAATGGTCCTGGACGGAGAAGACGCGGTGGATGTAGTCCACGTCGCACCGGCTTGTCTCCTCACCGGCCTCCATCTTTGGAGTGCCGGATAGCGCCGGCATGCTCAACTCTTGTATGTAGGCTACATGTTCTTTTGTAAATCCTGTAGAGATCGTGTGTCAGCCTTGTCCCAGCGGGGTCGAGCCCAAGCTGGGGGCACTCCTGTAATGATAGACACGCGGTCAATGACGGGGTGCACCTCAAGCTCCTTCTTTCACCAATTCCAAATTCGGAAAATTGATTCTCGTCTCGTATTGGCTCATGGTCCTGGCGAATGCCTGTCCATCATGGGACTGGAGCCCCCCAGCAAGGGGCTGGTCATCCAAACCCTCCGGGCGCGACCGATCCCCCCGGCGTAGCAAAAAACCTTCCCCACAAGACTCGACCCTGACACCCATCAAGAATTTTGATGACCATTCTTAATTACTCCAGGTCAGACTCATCGACCGTCACGCGGCTCCTGTAAAGGCGCTCGCCTCGGGGGAAGGGTCCACTGGATCACAATGCTGAGTAGGAGCGTCCGCCAAGCGGTGAGAAACGGATCGGAGACTTGATTGTATGCCTGAAGGTCACCCGGTAAACCCATCACGACCCCCCGCGCCCTGCAGGAGAGGTCCCTGCTGGGTGCCCTGCGGTCTTATGCCCTGGTGCCAATGGTAGTAGAATCCACCTCTCGGGGCGAGCGGGCCTTCGACATCTACTCCCGCCTCCTGCGGGAGCGCATCGTGTGCGTGAACGGGCCCATCGAGGACACGAGCGCCAATCTCATCATTGCCCAGCTCCTGTACTTGGAGTCGGAGCACCCCGAGAAGCCTGTGGGTGCAGGAAGAGGAGGGTAGGAGTTCAGGCCGTGGACTGATCCCTTGCCTGCACCTGCTGGAGTGGGAGCAGGACCTCGCTCCCCCTTCAATGCAATTGGCCAGCCCCTCACCACACTCCGCTCGCATCCTTATTTCCCTGTACAGATCAGCATGTACATCAACTCCCCTGGGGGTGTGGTTACCGCAGGGCTGGCCATCTACGACACCATGCAGTACATTCGCTGCCCCGTCGCCACGCTGGCGGTGGGCCAGGCAGCCTCCATGGCGTCCCTCCTCCTGGCCTCTGGGGAGCCGGGGCACCGACGGAGCCTCCCACACAGCAGGGTCATGCTGCACCAGCCCAGCGGCGGCGCGCAGGTGCGGACTGTGGGAAAAGGGAGTTGGCAAGGGGGGGGGGGTGGAGGAGGCTTCTGAAACAGGGTTCTGATAGAGCGGTTTTTTTGAAGTTTGTGGATCCACAAGGGTCCTGGACATAGCCTGGATGCTCTTGGCAGGTCAAACGACTGCCTCAGTTCAGGCATCCATGAACTTTGGCCTGGAGTCATGGCAGAGCAACATCGGCCTTGCACAAAACTTGGCGCCTGGCATTGGTCCGTGGCGTCTGGTCCTGCCCCACCCCTCGCCATTCCACAGCTCACCTGGTAAAGCTGCACGAGCCCACGCTCCCCCACCCAGGGTCAAGCCAGCGACATCGCGATCCAGGCCAAGGAGATCCTGAAGATGCGGTCCCTGCTCAACGACCTGTACGTCCAGCACACGGGCCAGACCCAGCCTCGCATTGGTGAGCTGGAAAGCGCGGCGTAGTTGGCGGGAGGGGGGGGGGCGAGTAGTAGATGTGCACGATTTGTTTGGCAGCAACATGGGGAGGGGCCTGAGGAAGAGGGCTGACCATGCTACCGCCGCTCCACATCCTCCTCACGCATGATCATGTCGCGCCGCTGCCGTCAACACTCCATACCCTAACTCGCTTTCCTTCCCCCACCTGCAGAGGAGTGCCTGGAGCGTGACTTCTTCATGTCGGCCAAGGAGGCCCTGGACTTTGGGGTGGTGGACGAGGTGATCCAGCCCAGGATGCACACGCCGGCGGCGCCTTGAGACTGCGGCCGCCAGTCACTTGAAACCGGGGGCTGTGCCGCCCTGGGACCGCCAGAGAGCACAGGGCATGGCGGCTGCACCGGGTGGGCGGCTGTCGAAGAGGCGCCTGATCAAAGAATCCGCCGCAGCACCCCTGCCACCCTCAGCGATCGCCGCCCAGCTTCAGGGCGTGCGTGCGCTGGCCTATCTTGCAGACCAGCTCTGTTGCCTGAAAGGGTGTGGGCAATGGGCAGGTGGAGCAGACGAGAGAAGGGACAACTAGGCATCTGGGGTGTGCAAAAGAGGCCGATTGTTGAGTCAAGTTTTGGGATTCACTGAGTAGATCGGAGCTGGCACGTCGTCCCTTTTACTGGGCGTCAGATCTCCCCACTTCCCGCTCTCCTCGGGCCCATGCCCACCTCGATGTGCCAGGCCGGGAGCAGGACAGACTGCTGCTTCAGCACTGCTTCCAGCCGCTCTAACGCATCCCCAGGGACCCAGGCCACAGAGACGTGGGGCCGGGGTTCCGCGTAGAACGTCGGCAGCCCGTGCCGGCGGAAGACCGCGTCCACAGCGCGCACCGCGCGTGCAAAGGCGCCGCCTGCGCCCTGGCCCTCAATCGCCAGAAAGGCGAGGCTGGCGTCCTCGTTGGCCAGGCAGGCCAGGCGGCGCAGGTCGAGGGCAAATGGGGCCAGCCGCCACGCGGCGGCAGTCAGCATGCGAAGCAGGGACTCCAGCTGGCTGCCGGCTGCTGGGGCGGTGTGCGAAAGGGACACGTGCCCCGTGCCCAGGTCCAGCCCACACAGGGTGGGCAGCGCGGCGCGCAGGCGGGGGAGCGCAGCGCGCAGCGCGCGGGTGACATCCGGCGGGGCGGGGGCCGAAAGGGTGACGTGCACCGCGAACTGGCCCTCCACGTGGGGGAAGGCGCGGATGCGCTGGGTAGGAGGTGCGAGCGCCGGTGCGGTGGCGGCTGTGAGAGGTGGGTTGGGGGAGATGGGGGTGAATGTGGAGTCAATGCCCTTCCTATTCCGATGGCATTTGCAGGCCGGTGGGAGCTTTAAACAGCATTTGCAGGGCTTCCTCACCCTGATCGGGCTGCAGCAGGGCGCTGGGGTCTGGCAGCCTGCTCTCAAGAGTGATGAAGGGCTTAGGTTTTGTGCAGGGCAGGAGCTTTCCCAACGGGCCAGTGATCTCACGCTTTCCCTTTCAGCACAACACGTACTCGCCTTGCTGCTTCCACCTTGAGGCGTTTGGGGGAGGGCTCTTTGCTCTCGTGGGAAGTCAGCTCTCCACCGTCCTCAACATGAGCACTGCCCTCTGATACTGCGGAGCCTGACGGCGAGCTACCGTAGGATGCCACAAGATCCATTCAGTCTGCGGAGCATAGCTTCCTCCAAGGAAGTTTGTGGTATGTTTGAATGATTAGACAGCTCTACGAGAATCGCCAGGTGAGTTTTGGGTGGAGTTTTGCAGCCCTGCCGAGCGTTCGAGGCGCGCCCGCGCGCGATTGTTGTCTGCAGATGGGCACTCGACTTCTCAACACCTCTGCAGGCAATCGAGTGCAATGCGCTACTCACCAGAAGGCCGCTTCTGTAATCAAGAATGTGAGCCCAGCATGGGCGAGGATCTGAGGCGCCTGGAGGAGGCAGAGCAGGTCAGTTCACCAGAAGAGATCGACGGCATGATATCTCCGTGTTCATGCCGCCTGCAGTCATGTCTTACTTTCTATATGCAGAGAATTATCAATGCACTGGATGGTGCTGCGGCCGTCATGCTTGAGCTGGAGAGGGGAGGCGTAGAAGTCGGGACTCAAACATTGGAGGTCTTGCAGAATCTGGAGGTGAGTACAGGCTTCCCGCATGTCGCACCCACCATGGTCAGTTAGACACTCAGGGTTAAACTGCCACCCCAACTTTCGTCTTTGCACTCAGGAGGCTGAGATCACGCTGTTGGAGCTCTGTGATCGTCATGCCGAACCCCTGCCGCTCAAGTATGCCCAATGGCCCACAACCCTGCGCCGACTGACAACTTCTGCCCAACCTGGGACGCCGGGGCATCATACATTAGGTTCCGGAGGCCCAAACGTCCAAGAAACGGATGACGGCATGGACTTGGATCATGGCTGACTCCTTACTATAAGCCTCTTGCACGAGAAGTTTCCTCCTCCCCCCCCATCCCAGCTCATGGTGCATTGGGGTGTTGTCGTGTGACCTTATACCCCGAGATCCTGACATGACGTGGGAGTCCTAGTCTTCCTCTGGCACCAGACTTGATTTGAAGTACCTGACAGCATTTACCTTCCAGAATTCTCTGCCCTTGACTTGTCATGCAGGGTGGTCACAATGTCGGGGTATGGTTTTGTTTGGAGGTAAAAGGGGCTGCGCAGTGGGGAATGTCAGAGAAAAAATGATGTAGACACCGAACATCACGTGGAATATGGCTCACAATTGCCAGATTGCTCTACACGCTGCCGCCCAAAGTGGGCCATGTGCTCGTATGGCTAAAGGAGAGCGGTCATCCCTGGCCTCGTCCCCTCAAGAAGTTGGTCACACTGTCCACCAGCTCCTGGCGACTGGTGGGCAGGAAGGGCAGCCCTTGCGCTGCAGCGGTAGGAACGTCCTCTTTCTGCGGCAGAGCGGCCTTTGGCACCGCCTGCCCACCCAGTTCTGCCATCTTGCTCGCCATCTCCTCTGGGTCCATGGCCACCCGAAAGTTACGGAAGAAATCGAGCAGGGAGGACTGATTGCCCCGGCCGCCCTGAAAGGTCTGGTCAAAGGTGAGCAGTTCCCCATCCTGCTTTCGGAGTAGGCCATCTGGTACCATTTTGAGAGCGCCTGTGGTATGGTTGGGAGGTGCAAGCATGTGGGGCAAGAGGCTCTTGCATTACTGACAAGGCAGGAGATCAGTATATGATAACGTTCCCATCTTTATCTCGTATATCCCCTTACATGCTTTACACAAACTCACCTTGCAGCTTGCCTGCCCAATCATCCCTGCGCTCGAAGACCACCGAGTTGTTTGGAGGCGTCTGCCCGCTCGGAGGAAGGTCCACTGCAGGGCATTTCAGAGTAGTGTGTACTGAGAAATTAGACAACCCAACCCTCCGGCGGGTGCCCTGGCGCAAAGATGCGGTACGGGAGGCGTGACTTGAATTGATCAGCTCCCATGCAAGTTCCCCTTGGCTTGCCTGGTGTTGGGTGTGGGCAGGGTAATGCTTTCTTCTTTGCTTCAGCCCTGCATGGGACTTCTCGATACCGAATTCCCATCACCCCCCACGTTGTGTTGGCCAGCTTCTCAAATGCCCTGAGACGAGGCAGACAAGGTGCATCCGCGGTGAGTATTCAGGTTGGAGTGCGAATGGGTCGATTGCAGCACCAGGGACAGATGAGAGGAGCTCATGACCGCCAGCTTCTTCGCTGTGCCTGGTGACCACCTCCATGACCCTGCAACCCATGCTCACACAGTCACTCACCACACCGACAGGTCAAAGTGGGTGATGCCATGGTCGAAGCAGCACCACTTCTGGTTGGAGTAGGCATTGTCAGGGTAGCGACTGCGAGAGTGGCATATGAAGGAAGACCAGTTATCGAGGATGTTCTTGCAAGGAAGATCTGCCCCCGAACCCCAAGCTTCAGCTTACCAGGGACAGCTGTCCGTCACCCGCACGATGACGCTGGCCGCCTCATCCAGACACACATGACTCCTGTCCAGTAAATCTCCGAAGCCGTCCAGGAGTCGGGGAGTGGGATCGCATCGCACCTCATAGCAGCGCCTGCACACGGGTGATGCTGCTGTTTCAGTCGAATGAGGGGAACAAAAACACGCCATGACCCCCTTTCCCCTGCTCGGCGTCACCTTACCCGCATGAATCGGTGAAGTCGGGAGCAGCATCCGTCATGGCGGCCACATCGAACCCCGTCCCGATGCCCGGCCATTGGAATCCAAAGCCGCAGGAGCCGGTCTGAAGAGGGCACACGAGTTTTGTATGAGTGCTTGTATCATTTAATAATGAGTAAACACTCCCCTGTCCATCGGTGATGCTCGGCCCTGGCCGGTATTGCGAGATCGCGGAGATGTCAGCGATATGGATCCTAGCCGACATGAATCGCTAAAAATGCATGTAAAACCAGCTCCCACTCACATGAATACTGTAACCGTCCGCTCCGTAGAATGTCTGCAGAAGGGTTGCGCATGTGTGCATTCGGGAGCATTTCGTGGACAGGGATCGCACCGTCGACATGAACAGGCCGGTCACCCCACTCTTACCGCTCTCCCACGAGTCCATGCACACACTTCTATCGCATAAATCACACTTGTGAGACACAAGGCGGCTAGTAGTCCTCCTCGCGCCATGCCTCTCGAGGATCGTTCCTTTGCCGGAGACTGTGGGGTCCAGGGTATCTACAAAATCGCGGTGCCAGCCTCGTTGAAGGATCCGGTCCGCGCAGCTCGAGAATTGTGAGCCCACCACTTGAGCAAGTCCACGAGCAGGCTGTTTCTTCCTCCCGATATCTTTCTAGTGATACGTATCTGGCTTTTGTTGCAGATTCGCAACAGCGACAAAAACCTAGGTCATGCCTCGGACGGTGCCAATGCTCCGGTCCCCCGGGGGGCAAGCCGCCCTATCCAGTTTCCGCATGACTACAGCAGGGAGTGATTACGGGCCTTCCAAATCCACAGCCCAACAGTCGTTGTCTCTTTTGCATTACCGTCTGCTTCTATTACTATGACGAGAGCAAGAAAGCGTAGCAGGGAGGTGATGGAAGGCTGGGTGAAGAGACATCAGCTTGACTGATTGAAAAAATCCAGACATGGTTCCCATGTCTCGGGTGTAGGGTGATTGAAAACTAGAGTCGTAGCAAAGCGATGAATGTATGGGGCTTGTTATACCTTGGAAGTGCTGCACTTCAATTTTTCCGACCGACCTCGCAATGAATGCGTGGGGGGGAGGCGAATGCGCCAGGCCACCCACGAAAGAAGTAACCTTCACAGCCGCCGTCCCTGGCCAAAGGACGAGTCGTAGGCCGAGACGGTGGGCGCGCTGCATGCGCCGCAGGTGGCCTTGCAGTAGCCGTTTGCAGTGATCTCGGAGCACTTGCCCCACTGCTTCTGCTGCCAGCACTCTGCCTCCTCTGGCACAGGGGCATCTTCGCAGGGCGAAGATGAGGAGGAATCGCCGGAGCTCGAGGGGGACTGGGATGAGCTGCCGCTGTCGCTGGATCCACAGCGTCCGCAGGTGGAGGCACAGTAAGAGCCGTCGATCATCCACTGCTCCCCGCACTGTGGGAGAAAGGGTTTGTAATGGGATGGGCAGGGTGAAATTGTACGATCTGATGGACGCCAACACTGGAAAGCTGATGGCAAAACAGTCCATCGCACAAACGTCTTGGCAGTCTGTCCTTCTCTCAGGCAGAATCTTAGAAGTAAGCTCCCACAAGCTCCCAAAATCATCGAGAGAAGGGCCCAGGCATGTCGTCTCACCTTGCCCCAGTTCTTCTGATCCTGGCAGGAGCCGTAGCTGATGCTGTACGGCACTGCAGTGTCCTGGCAGTCAGCAGACGATCCCGATGGGGAGGAAGATGGGGAGGAAGACGAAGCGTCTGATGGGGAAGACGATGACTCTGAGGGTGACGACGGGCTGGAGCTGCTGCTGCACCGGCCGCAGGTGGTCTGGCAGAAGTTGCCGCTGGTGAGCCACTCGTCATTGCACTGTGGTGGGGTTGTAAAGGACTTGTGTGAGTCCATGTACAGTGGCAAAGTGGTGTTAGTACATATGGCAAGTTCTTTACTGGCTCACAGCAGTGTCTGATGCTGGCAAGGGTCACAACACCACAAACAACAGCACAACCCAACAGGTAATGCATCTCCCTGCACGAGTGCCTACCCCACCCCCCGCTCACCTTGCCCCAGTCCAACTGTTGCTGGCACGAGCCGGTGTCGGGAGCATTGTCAGTGCAGCCCTCGGAGCTGGTGCTGGACGAGGAGCTGTCACTGCCCGCAGAGGCCGTGGTGGAGCCGTTGGGGACGCTGTTGGGCGCCAGTCCTCCCTTGAAGGTAGACTCGTAGGTGATCTTGTCCGAGGGGGGGGCAGCATCCACGTTGCCGGACACGGTGACAGCGCCTGTGATGGACAAATAATTGGGAAGGGCACGAGGGGTGAGGCGAGGCGCAGCAGGAAGCCGGCTGGCGAGGGACCTGAGTAGTGCTGAGCGAAGGGGATGCAGGGCAACACAGACAGCAAGGCGCCTTGCTTGTTCCATGCAGCTCACGTGATTGCAAGCATGATTATGCAGGGTCGAAGGGATTGTGCTTACCTTGAGGCTCGCCGACGGAGTCGAATCGCTTCACGTAGATGGTATCCTCAGAAGGCTTCACCATCCATGACTGGGGCTCCTCGGCTGCAAGATAGAGGCAACATGGGCCAGCAGTGAGGACAGTGTGATTGATGATGGAGTGCATAGGTCCTTCAAACGCTCGGCCGGGGTAAAGCTGAGGAAAACAAGTCGGCGCGCTCACGTGGGGTGGGGTTGGCGATGGGCGGCGCGGGGTTGTCGGCCGCCTTGGTGCAAGGCACCTCCTGGTACTGGATGCCCATGACGCCCCACTTCACATCGCTCAGGCGCTCGTAGGCCCTGTGGTCGGGTGAACACCATTTATGAGTGGAAAGCCTCGGGCTGGGAGAAGCAGAAACCAATGCGTGCCTCCCAGTTCACACCCTCTCACCAGATGGACAGGTCAAAGTGCGTCATCCCGTTGTCATAGCAGCACCACCTCTTGTTGGAGTAAGCATTATTGGGGTAGTCACTGTCATAGGAATAAATAGAGCAAGGGATGAGGGTGAGGTGTTTGCTTGCTAGGTCGCACAAAATTCCAAACCGTTCTGGACAGACCGGGTCGATGCTTGCAGTACATCATACTTGCTCCATGCACAACTGCCATGTGCGGAACCCCCATTTCCTTTCCTTCCCGCCTCACCATGGGCAGTTGTCGACAGTACGAACGACAATGGTCTTTGATGAGTCGTAACAGACGGAGGACCGCTCGTGGGTTTGACCGTACCCGTCAGGGACGGCGGACTGGGGGTCGCATTTCACCTCATAGCAGCGTCCGCACGACCCACCGAACTCGGGAGCGGCATCGGCGATGGCTGCGACATCGAACCCGGTGCCCACATCTGGCCACTGATAGCCGAAGCCGCACGACCCAGTCTGCGGAGTGATGGCGAGGAAGGGTTGGTGCGCGCCCCAGGCAACCGGGCTGCGGGGGTGTGCGCGGCTTCGAACCGGCTGACAGGCGGTATGGGCATGGGGCCACGCCCGGGGGAGACGCGCACCACCATCCCAATGTGGATGCCCTACCACTCACATGAATGCTCCATCCGTCGGTTCCGTAGTACGTCTGCAGGGGTACGGATGGTTCGGACAGGGTTCGAGGCAGACCTGTACTGCTCAGGCATGTGACACCCGCTGCCCGATCACGCAACTGCAAACATGGACTCACCGCACGGCCTTTCTGCCAGGCGAGCGCTCCGCTGAAGCTCAAGCACATTAGAAGCAGAGGGAGCATCGTGTGGCTGGCCATTCTGTTGTCTGGCGAGCAAGGGGGGGAGGGTTGGGACGGACAGGTGAGTAAGCCGCCGGCGGAGCTTGGAGTCGTCAAGGTCACGCCGGGCTACAGCCAGAACAGAGGGAAACCGGGTCGTGAATATGTCTCGGTGGTTGGGCAAGCGTTGACCAGGTCGTCATGACCGCTATCCCACGTACCTCTCCAATGAGCCCCTCCAATGATTATGAAAGTCCAAAAGTCGTCTGGCTGACTGAAGAGGTGCGCTACACAAGTCAGCAGTGATCTCAGGAAGTTCAAGCGTTATCCGCCGTCACACTGAGGTTATGAATCCCTTTCCTCGGGTCTGGTTTGTGCTGAAGCCACATCGGATTTCGGCAGCGGCGTGCAGCCATCCAGACGGACTGGTCGGAGCAAGGGAGCGCCCATGCCGGCAGGACCGCTTGGTCACGTGACACGCAGTCAGTCTCACCGCACATCGCGCACGCAGCGCCCGACTCATGCGCGCTTCCCGATGCGGACAGGGCCTGCAGTACGCCTCTTAATGGGACGCCCAGAGCAGGTCCCTCGCGAGTATGCGTGCACGCACTGCGCATTCCCGTTGCCGCACAGCGTACCCCCCCGGTCCCGTTGGTCAGACTCCATACTCGGAAACCCTTGGACGAATCCCACTGTACCCAATGGTTTCTGTACAACACCCATTTGCACAGATCAGGCATCACAGAGGATCAGGGGCAACTTCACTGGCTTCCTGAGCCAAACACGCTGGGCCTGGCCGCAGGCGCCATGACCCTGAAGTATTCCTGGTCAAGGGCCTCCAGGTTGCCTGCGGCCGCGACGGCGGCGGCATCCTGCGTGATCCACCCGCGCCAAGTCTGAGCAAGCTCGGGAGGGGCGGTGGCGAGGGCAGCTTCCAGAGCCTCGGCAGAGGATGGGTCCAGGTCGTCCTCTGGCCGCCCTCCTCTCGAGCCTGCAGTGGGGGTGGGGGGGGGCTGGGCTTGTGGGATACCATCAGCGACGGCATGGCACAGGGGTGGCGAGCCCTTCCCCGACATGGGACGGTCATGAATGGAACCCGGGGCATGTCTCGACACTCCCACGCATAGCGTCGCACCCTGCCGTCTGCCGGGTGCCCCGCCGGCCGTCACCTCGCCCAGCAGATTGGAGAAGGCCTCGCGGAGGGTGGCGCCCCTGAGGACGTGGCCCTGCTGGCCACCCTCGATCGCACCATCACCCAATATCTGCCCCATCATCTGCTGGACGGCGGGCGACTCCGCCATCTGCATCAGCGCCGGGTTGTTCATCATGCCGGACAGGAGCGACCCCAGCCCGCCGCCTCCCCCAGCGCCGTCGGCGGAAGGGGCCCCCGACCCCAGCATGGACTGCAGCATGTTGCCCAACGCCGGCGGCACACCGGCCACCGCGCCGGGGCCCCTCGCCGGGGCGCCAGCTCGCGGGGCGCCAGCTCGCGGGGCGCCAGCCTGGGAGGCCTGGGCCTGAGGGCACGGCGCCCCTGGTCCGGCTGCCTGCCCCACTCCCGCGTCAGACCCTGCTGCCTGCGGCGGCCCCGCCTCGCGGCCCGCCGCCGGGGCCTGGGGCACGTTTGGCGGCGCAGCGGGGGCAGGCTCCCCGCTTGGGCCGCCGCCCTCTCTGCCCTTGCCGGCCGGGCGGCGCAAGGGCAGCGGCCTGAGGCCCTTGAAAGGCGGCCGGGGCTTGGGGGCCGCCTGCGCGCCAGGCGCAGGGCCTGCGCCCACGGGCGCAGGCCCGGCCGGGGCGAAGGGTGCCGCACCTGCCGGCGTTGCTTCCGCCGCCCCCTTTTCTGTTGTGGCAGGGGCGGGGCCACTGGAGGGGCCGGCCTCGGAGTCGGTGCTGCGCTTTGGCGGTCGGGGCGATGCCCCCGCCTGGCTGCTCCCTGCCGCGCCGGTGGGCTGCAGGACAGCGCCCGACGTGCTGAGAGGGGCCGCAGGTGCCGTCGCTGCGGTCGCGGGGCCCCGAACAGCTGCGTCGGAGGGGTCGGGAGCAGCAGCCGAAGGTTGACGACCCGTCTCTGCCGGCGGTGGCACGGCCGGGGCCGAGGTCCCAGGGCCGGCGGATGGTCCGGCGGCGACAGGCGGGCCTTCAGCAGGCGCTTGCTGCGCATGCTGCGCCGGCGCGGCGTACACGTTGGGCACGCCGGGACCTGCGCAGCGAGGCGTGCCAGAGCGGGGTCTTGAGGCGTCCTAGACCCCGGCACGCGGCGGGGCAGCCCCGGCCCACTCGATTTCTGGCACGTGCCCATGGCACAACCCCCCCTGGACCGGGGGCCTTCACACCGCATGCCACCTCGGCGTTGCTGAGTACCTCTCCAGCATGGCGACCCGCCACGCCCCCCCCACCCCCTCACGGCCCGCGCCCTCACCCGGGATGCGAAGCCGCCGGCCGTCCAGCTCCGACCCCGCCGGGCGCCGGCGGGGGGGCGGCAGGTTTGTCACCGCGTGCCCCTGCCAGTCGGTGCCCAGCACGGCGATGTAGCCGGGCTCGGCACGCGTGATCCAGGCGTTGTCCTGGCCCAGCCAGGCCGCGTAGCACTGCGCCACGCGCATCAGCTCGGCGGCGGCCGCGCCGACCACCGCCAGGTGTTGCTGCAGCAGCTGGAGGTCGGCCTGCAGGACGGGGGGCGGTGTGCGCCGGCAGCAGTGCATGTGGAGTAGGGAGCGCGCCAGGCTGCGCAGCCGGCGCCCCATCACGCCGTGGCTGGGGTTGTCGGGGCCCGTGCCCGTGCCAAACAGGCCCAGGTAGCGCCGCAGCAGCGCGCTGAGCGCCGCGCCGGCCAGCGCCTGCAGCGGGGCGTGGGGTGCGCGCCTGCGGGGCGCGGCGCCGCGGGGCGCCGGCCCCGAGCAGGAGTCCTCGCTGCCCGAGTCCCCGCAGGCCAAGCCCTCGCACTCCTCTTCGCTGCCCAGGCTCTCCCACTCGTTGTCCTCGCCGTCGCTCCCGTCCTCGTCGCTCCAGGACCCCCGCTCCCCCCGGTCGTGGACCTCCGGCATCCCCGCGCGGCGCAGCGCGCGGCGCAGCGCCCGATCCAGGCCGGTCATGTGGGCGCGGTCGTTGCGCAGCGCGCGCCGCACGCCGCGCAGCAGGTGGCGCTGCCACATGGCCCCCGCCTCGCCCTCCTGCGCCGCCAGCTGGCGCGGTGTGGGGGCGGGCCAGGGGTCGCCGGCGCTTGCCAAGGGCAGGGGCGGGAGGTCCTGCATCCTGGACCCCCCATACTCCACGGAGTCGAAGAAGGAGGTCAGGCCGGAGAAGATGTCCAGGGAGGTGGGGCGGCTCTGCCCGTCAGCAGCGCCGGAGCCGCCGGCGGCAGGGGCCGGGGGGGTCCGTTGCCGGTGGGGACCGGCGGCGAGTGCAGGACGCCCCGCTGCCGCGCCTGGGAGGAGGGGCCCCGGGGCCCCCCGCCGGGAGCCCACGACGCCGGCGATGGGGTAGACCACCAGGTGGATGGCAGACCCCGACTCAACGCCATAATCTCCCAGATGCTGCTGGTCCTCCAGCACACGACCGCGGAACAGGAGCCGCTGGTGGGGGGTGGGGATGGCGCAGATTCCTTCGATCACATGCTTCAACCTCCGAATGGGAGTCTGCGGGGATCATTGTGGGTGGCGGTGAGATCGGGCGGAACCATTGGCTCCGCACTGCGACTCGGCTCTGCTCGTGCTGCCGTGCATGACATGCAACCCAGTGCGCACATGTGCTGTGAAGTCATTCACGAGGCGGAAATCGTCCACATCTTGCCGACGGATCAGCAGGTTGGTGATGCCATCGTCCGCCATTTGGCCGGCTCGGAAGGGGGATTCGCCCAGGCACCCACTCCACCCAGATGATCAGGGGTGTAGCACACCGTCTGCAAAATCCTATTTCTAGTTATGCATGAGGACTATCCACTGTCCTGCTTTGTTTGCCCATCACTGCGATTTCCCCCGCTGCGCATCGCGCTCCTGATGCCATCTTTCCAATATCTGAAGCGCCCAATTGACTCAATCACATGTAGACGACCGAGGTTGGCTCGCGACCGTGAATGTATCTTTCGCTTCTCACAGTGTAACACAAATGCTCTCGGTGCATGCTCCAGCAGCTATGCAGCTGAGCGGTGCGCCGGTGAAGGGCAGGGCCTCTGGAGCGCCAGGCAACAGGCTAGCCGCTCCCCGCAGTCGAAGGCAGCGTGTTGACCCCTGCGTGCCACGCGCCATGTCCTCTGTTACCCATGAAGCCTCCGAGGTGGGTGTGCATGTGGCAACACGGTCGATGCCCGGCTTTACTCGGGGAACCCCACTCACGTAGTTCCCCTGCCTGGACTCATTCACCACGGCCTCAGAGCCCCGATGCTCCACCTGCAGAGCGTCGTTATTCGACGGAGACCACCAAACAGCGCTTCCGCCCGGAATTGCGGGCCTCTGGGCTTCAAGGTGCCCTCCACTCCAGAGGATGAGCCACGCAACATACTCGAAGAGATCGTCTGGTGGGTGGGTGCCTTGTGCATGAGGCATGCATCTGTGATTCCTTGAGCATCGAGTATCCCCTCATGTGTCCTCCTGACTTGTAGCTGGTGGGCATCCAGAGTTGCCTGTGCACTCTGCTCGTGCCCAGGTCCCCTCCAAACCCCCTTCTTCCCTCACCCTCCTCGTGTGCTGCTCTCTCAATGGCCAGGTATAAAGCGGTGGAGATCGAGCAGTGGCGGGCCAGCACACCCCTGTCCAAGCTGGCAGAGCAGGCAAAGCGCGCGAAGCCTGCCCGCGACTTCATCGGCGCTCTCAAGGCCCAGTCCGAGGCCCGGGGGGGCTGTCCTGGGCTCATCGCGGAGGTGAAGAAGGCTTCACCTTCTCGTGGTCTACTCTGCCCCGACTTTGACCCTGTCAAGGTGAGCGCTGTGCATTGCCGCTGCACAACAGCCAGAGGCCAGGCAGGATATTCTCGTACAGTCCACCTTGAGTCCCTGAAAGGGAAAGGCTTCTCCCATGCTGTGATGCGCTGGCCACGCCCTGCACAAGACCCGCCCACACACGCCCTGGCTCCCTCGCAGATCGCGCAAGGATACGAGGCGGGCGGTGCCGCTTGCCTCTCGGTGCTGACGGATGCCAAGTTCTTCCAGGGCGGGTTTGAGAACCTGGCTGCCATCCGGAGGGCTGGCGTGACCTGCCCGCTCCTGTGCAAGGAGTTCATTGTAGAGGTAAGCTGCCTTTTGTCTCTGGGGATGCCTAGAGTGTGTGCTTGTGAAGCACAGCTGTGAGCGGGGACAGCTGCGTGCCCTGGCCTGATCCTGCTCAAACTTATGCCGGCAACCGCCTGCACTTTTTTGTGCCAAGCTCGCCGCTGTCAGTCAGCAACCATGCAGCTCCTTGAGCCCTCACCATGGGCCCTCGATCGCCGTCACACCGATGCCATGTCCTGCAGGCGTACCAGATCTTCAAGGCTCGGGCCTATGGGGCGGACGCAGTCCTGCTCATCGCCGCCGTCCTTTCCAATCCCGACCTGGAGTACCTGACCAAGGCCACCCGATCCCTGGGGATGCAGTGCCTGATCGAGGTGCGTGTGGATGCGGGGTCCCAGGTGAACAGATTCGCCGCGCTCCAAACCAAATGGTTCAACTTGGATCGCTGCTGCGCTCCAGGGCAGGTGTTGAGCTCATCGCTCCCCGCAAACCCTGCTGACAGCCCCACGCCTTCTCCCCAGGTGCATGATGTGCCAGAGATGCAGCGCATGCTGGACCTGGACCTGACCGGCTGCATGCTGGGCATCAACAACCGCGACCTGCGGACCTTCAAGGTCTCCCTGCAGAACAGTGCGGACATCATGGCCAGCGTCCCAGGCCAGGAGGTGGGCGGCGGGTGCGTGCGGCGCTGCCTCGCGAAGGGGGAGGGGCGTAGGCGCGATGGGTATCTGCGTACCGTGCCCTCCATCGACAGAGGTGCTGGGTCTGGACACGCTGCAACCCATGTGTCGCATGTTGTGGGCAGGAGCATTGTTCGTGCCCGGATGCACCCTCTCCTTCGACCCTCATCCCCATGGCAGCAGATGCCTGTCGCGCCACTGCCCCCCCCTCCTCCTCCCCTCTCAAACACACACAATCTTCCCAGGTCCAGCGCCGGGGCCTCCTGGTGGCCGGCGAGTCCGGCATCTTCACGCACGAGGACGTGCAGGAGGCGCGGCGAGCCGGCTGCGGCGCCGTGCTCGTGGGCGAGTCGCTCGTGCGGCAGGGCGACGTCGCCCAGGCGGTGCGCACCCTGCTGGGGGAGTGAGGCACCTGGGCAGGATAGCGTGAACCGCCGGGGTCGATGCCACCTGTCAACGGCCCCCTCTTTTGTATCTGGCTCGGCACGGGGCTCTCATTCCGGGGGTCTCAGGACAGCCTTGCTGTGTCTGGTTCAAGAGACGTCCTGCCGCCGCACGTGGGCATGGCATGGCGTGTACATCCATGCAGGAGCATGTCAAGTGTATAAGGGAGCAGAGCCATAGCAAGAGGGCAGGGGGGGGTGGTCCGAGGACCTGGTTTCTGTGTCGGGGTGAAGCATGCGCGGTCGAGCGGAGGCAGGGCGCCGCGCAGTGACCTTGTCCACATGAGCAGTACTTGGGTGAAGGCAGTTTATATGGCAGATGCCCCGGTCGAGCCCGTACTGAACTGCGACGCCGGGCTCAAGGCAGTGTGCCGGCGGCCTGGCAGCTGGCGGGGCCCCTCGGGACTGGGCTGGGCCTGGCCCTACCCCAGCGCCGGGTTGGCAAGGGCAGCGCCGGCCTGCCCGTTCGCCGTGGCTTCGCCCTGCCCCGCGAGACCCGCCGAGCCCGCGGCCACACCGACGCCGAGCCCCTGCGCCGCCCCCGACGCGGCCTGCGTGACCGCGCTGGACGCGCCCTGGGATGCCGTGCCCGGGGTCGAGCCGCCCAGGGTCTGGGTCGACCCGCCCTGACTCGACGCGCCCTCGGCTGACGCCCCCTGAGCTGATGCGCCCTGGGTCGAGGTGCCTTGGACTGCCGCGCCCTGGGTCAATGCACCCTGGGCCGAGGCGCCCTGCAGCGCCGTGCTCTGGCCCTGCGCCGAGGCGCCCTGGGACGTCTCGCCCTGCGCCGAGGCGCCCTGGGCATCCGCCGCGGCGGCTCCCACACTCGCAGCGCCGGCGGCCCTGCTCCCAGCCTCCGCCTGGCCTCCCGCGCCCTGACTTGCGCCTGCCGCCGCCGAGCGCGGGTCCGTGCCCTGCGAGGCCCCGGCCGCCGGAGTGACGGGTGGGGGTGGGGAGGGCAGGGCGAAATTTGGCTTGACCCCGGGGCTCGTGCACTTGAACCTGCGCGGGACGGGGGGGTGCGTCGTCGTGGGTGGTCGTGGCAGGCTGGAGGGTCAGAGACGGGGCAGGGAGGCCGGGATGCCGCCCACTGCAGATACCGCGCAGGCTCTGCATGAGGCCCCGGTTTCTCCTTCCCACGAGCGTCGAGGACCCCTGCAGGCGTGCCTCAGCGCTGCAAGCACGATTGCATGCACACCCCCATTTTCCACCCCCCTCCCCCCAACCCCCCTCCCACGCCGCACTTCCCTCCCTCCCTCCGCTCCACCCCTGTCCTGCGAGCCCACCTGAACACGCGTCCCTCGTGCTGCCCAAAGTCCACAAAGTGGTCCCACATGTGGGCGGCGGTCCAGGGCGGGATGGGCAGGTCCGGGTTGCGCAGCTTGTAAAAGTCAAAGTCGAAGCAGGCGGGGCCGCGCTCGCGCATGCCCAGGACCTTCACCCGACGCAGGTGCTCCTGCTTGGCCGTGTACTCGTTGGAGGCCAGCCCCTGGCCCTGGAGGGGTGGCGGGGGCAGAGGGCGAGAGACGAGTGAGGGGAGCACAGGGGGCCAGGCGTGCCGGCACGTGGCAGGGTCAAGCCGCCAGCGGGCACGGCGCCGCGGCAAGCGGAGGAGCTCAGTGCGCCGCAGCGACGCCCAGCCACCGCGGGCCCAGACCCTTTCCTGGGGATGGCCTGAGAGGGGGCGGGCGGTGTTCCCCCACATCACCCCCCCTACCCCCCTCCGACCCACCACTCACCCGGTCGCGCGCCCACTCCGTGTACTTTTTGATCTCGGTGGCGGTGGTCCAGTTGGCCTCCAACAGATACTCCTTCATCTTCACAAACATGACCTCGAAGGGCGAGAGGTTGATGCCGTCGTACATGTACTCTGCGTACGGGTTCAGCCTGCGGAGCGCAAGGGTGAGGGCGTGAGCGGTGGCGGCGGCTCTGGCGTGCACGGCCACGTGCCAGGAAACCCCTGCTCGAAGGGCCGAGGGAGAGCGGGGGTGCGCGCGGGGAGGAGGGCCCCTCCGCTGCTCGCTCCCACCCGGCCCCACGGCGTCCCCTTCCCCACCCGATGCGCGCCCCTCCTTGCCTCAGATGCCCCTCCCACCGCCCCCCGCGGACCCCCTTCCCCCCCCACCCCCAGCTCACGCGGCGCTGCAGCCCCAGTTGTTGGTGTCTCGCCAGTCCACGCCCTGGTAGCGCAGCATGAGCGAGTCGATGTTGAAGCCGGCGCGCAGGATGGCCGCGCTGGACCCCATCTCCGCGTACCTGGCCGGCGGAGGTGCAGGTGGAGGGTTGGTCTTGAACCCGCCGGGGGGGGAGGGTCAAAGGCTGCGCCGCTGCAGAGCCCGGCAGGTCACTCGTGACCACGCCGCGACCCCCAGGCCCCAGGTCACCCCGGATGCCCACTCCAGCCCCCCGTGGACCCAACGCGTTCCTGTCCTGGTAGGCGCACAGGCACCTGCCGCCCGCGTGCTGCGCACCCCACCCGCGCTCCCGCCACCGCCGACTCACCACACGGCGTCGTGGTAGGCCTCGTAGCACTGCAGCGCCGAGGCGTCGCTGCGCAGGACGTTGAGGGACACCT